ATAGATAGATAGATAGATAGATAGATAGATAGATAGATAGATAGATAGATAGATAGATAGATATAGGGAGGGAGGGAGGGAGGGGGGACAGTTTAGTTAACAAAACTCCATCACTACTCCCAAATGTTATTTACAGCACTGAAGTTTCTTAAAGTAAAATTACCCAATAAGGGCTACACGGTCTTGGACATATTCTGTTGCGTGTCCCAATCCAAGAGGGAATACAGCTCGGCTCTTAGGATCGACTTTTGCAACGCTTGGGGGCAGCTGTCGGGCTGCAGTCCCCGAAGGCATCAAGAAAGAAACAGCAGATCGAAACATGGATGCAGCAGTATCAATGAAGTCCGAGTGATTTGCGTTGCTCCACTGAATAATGATAAAGATTTATTTGGTAACTATATGCCCCTAAAAGACTCTGAAATTAACATCTGTTAAGGAAAATCCAGTTTTAGAACACTTCTGCCCAACATTTGAACTTAATAGCAGTCACAAGCAGGAAATACAGTAAATAAAACATGTTAGAAGGAAAATGTGTTCTTCTTTTAGCCCTGCTTCCAGTGGCCTCAACAAGCCGAAGTGGCACAGTGATTAGAGTGCAGTACTGCAGGCTACTATAGCTGACTGCTAGTTGCAGTTCGGCAGTTCAGATCTCACCGGCTCGTAGTTGACACAGTTTTCCAACCTTCCAAGGTGAATAAAATGAGGAGCCAGATTGTTGGGGGCAATGTGCTGACTCTGTAAACTTCTTAGAGAGGGTTGTAAAAGTACTATGAAGCGGTATAAATGCTATTGCTATTCCTTGAATACAGAACTCACAGCAGCTCATAAGAAACCTTCGACAAGTCTAGAAACAGAACCACCTCATTTCTTGTGTGGCATCTAAGAAGCACAATGACAAGATACAATTCTGATTCATTTATTCTTGAGTCATTAATAACAATTGAAAGGGACCTTGGAGGGCTTCTAGTCCAACCCCAAATAAGAGACCCTATACCAGTGATGGCGAACCTTTTAGGCATCGAGTGCCCAAAGTGTACGTGTGCGCCCAAACTGCAAGACGTGGATGCAGAGACTTAAAAACCCAACTGGCCGATGAGAGGCGTGCGCGCATGCACGGCACAGACCCGAAGCAGCTGGGATGACGGCACACATGCCCACAGAGAGGGCTCTGCATGCCACCTCTGGCATGTGGTGCCGAAAAGGTTCACCAACACTGCCCTATACTATTTGAAACAAATGGTTATCCAATCTCTACTTTAAAAACTCTAGTGTTGGAGCACCCATAACCTCTGGAGGCATCACTGATTAATTGTTGTCAGAAAATTTCTCCTTATTTCTCGGTTGATTCCCTCTCCTTTGTAAAGTGTCCTGGCTTATGTTATTAAGATAGGCAGCTGTACATATATTTTAAATAAATAAGTAAAAAAGTGAGTGAATGAAAGTCTGAATAGATTAATGATTCTTTCAATGGCAACTTAATCCTCAAATGCCATAGGTGATGAAAGGCCATGGGATAGGTTATGTGAGCACTAATAAATATGTCCATACACGAGTATCTTCCTCCTGCCCCTGTGCCCACAATCATGCCAATATTATGGGATGGGGAATCTTTGTATGCAACTAGCACTAATATAGCTTCTAGCTATAAAAATTATTCAAACATTATATTGCTACTCTTGAATACTTGTTTCCCATTTTTCCTATCAGAGAACATCAATAATCTGCATTTCATAAAATGAAAATACTCACAAAAGCAGAGTTGACAGCGTCCACAAAATTTTCTTCATCCATACTCTGAAGTTGAAGTGCATGTTCATGTGATGTGGACCAAACCAAAGAGCTGGCTGTATCAGAGAGCTGATAATAAGAGACAAAAACAAGGCACCTCCTCAAATGTATATCACTGCAAGGATCTCACCAAAACCTAATGTCTTAATAAAATCATAGAGGCAGTTAAAGGGAAAAAGTACATTCATAAGAATTTTAAAAAAATGCTTACTGTAATAACAGATCTGTCAATTATTAACTAATGGAAAACAAGTCAAAAGACAATGACTAAAACTGGTTCAGATGAAAGTTACAAAGTTCTTTACCGGGAGGAGAGCAATTGGTCCTGATGGAAGAAATCTCTGCCATGCCACATTGTTATCAGTTGGCTGCAATGTATGAAAGACAGTGAAGATTACTAATTTTCTGTGGTTAGTTCTTTATCTTCAAAGTTGTAGCTTGATATTCCAACATCTGACCTCAGACAAGTGAAGAGTAGCAACTAGTGCTGACTGATCATACTGATAATGAATATTCTGAATACCAACTGCTTTCCGGATCAAAGAATTTTGCCCATCTGCCCCAATCTGTGAAGATAATAAGAAATTAATTCTTTTAACAGGCTTAATGAAAAAACAAATCCTCTTTTAAGAGCTCTCAAAAGATAACTATACAAAGGCTCAATAACAGTGATGGGGAACCTTTTCGGCAATGAGTGCCCAAACCAGAACACACATGTATGTGTGTTCATGTGCGTGCACTGGAAACCCAAGGACCAGCTGGCTGGTGTATGCATGCCTGTTTTGGGGGCATTTCCAGGCCATTTTTGAGCTATTTCCAGGCTATGTTTCAAGCTCTTTTTCAGGTCATTTTCAGGGCATTTTTCAGCCTGAAAACAGCCTGAGAAACAGCCCCCCCAAAGCCTGAAAACGTCCCAAAAAACAGCCTGTTTTTTTAAACCAGAAGAGCAGCTGGCGACATCACACATGCCCACAGAGAGGGCTCTGTGTGCCACCTCTGGCATGCGTGCCATAAGTTTGCCATCGCGGGTCTATAATATCTACCTGGTAGCAAAAAAAGGTGTGCCTTCCCTACCCCCCACATCTTTGTATTCATCTTTCTCCAGTATTTCCTCTAAGGGCGCCACCAAAACAGACCCAAAAGCTAACATGAGATAGTAAGAGAGAATGGGAAATTCTCAGTATGTCAATCGACTCATGTGACTTCTAACATTGTCCACTAGAACCATACTTTCTCTCCTCTCTTGCATGTGCATCTTACATGTAACCTATTTACAAGGATATGCAAAATGGATATTCAAATTGGCACATGTAATTACTGTATTTTTTGGACTATAAGACACTCCGGACTATAAGTTGCACCTAGCATTTGGGGAGGAAAACAAGGGGAAAAAATCTGCCTCTGCCTCCCAGCAATTGCTTCCTTGCAGCAAACAGCCTGGTCAGCTTCAGCACAGCCTGATTTAGCATGAGCAACTGACTGGAGGTTGGATCTGCATCCCAAAATACCACCAATCAGGCTGTGGGGATCGCCGCCGCCCCCCCTCACCACTGCTGCCTCCGCGCGCCTCATTTTTGGCCTCCACGCATTGCATTTTTGGATCGTTCCAGGCAGCGACGATAGGTGGCAGTGGCAATGGGTGGCGCCAGTGGTGATGGGCAGTGGCAATCCTTGCAGATGGAACAGATGGAGGCAGATCCAACCGCCAATCAGTTGCTCATGCTAAATCAGGCTATGCTGAAACTGGCCAGGCTGTTTGCTGCAAGGAGGCAAATTGCTGGAAATTAGAGGCTGAAGGGTGGGGGCCGGAAGGTTGGCGGGGCTTCGGCAACATTCGCTGTATAAGATGCATAGACATTTCCACCCACTGTTTTGGGTGGCGAAAGTGGGTCTTATAGTCCAAAAAATACAGTACTTCAGAATAAATGCATTTAGAATCAATGACAATAATATTTTCAACTCATCTTTCAACCCCCTTCAAGCTGATAATATTGACAACATGACATTAGAAGCAAATCCAATAGAAAGGATTAGAAAAGAGATGGTGCCTAATCAAATAGAAAATATCTTAGTTACCAGCAATTTGGTTTGAAATCTGCGTCCATCTGCTAAATCAATTTGGACCCAAGGACTCATGTCAGAAGATTGATGTTGAAGGGGCCAGGTATATCCAACTGCTCTGCTCCTGTAGAGAACTTCCACTCGGTCTAATAGGGACACAATGTATCAATGTCTTTAAATGATAGAGAAGCAGCAAAGAATTAAAATTCTGAAGCCAATCAAGACCCAAGCCTTGGTAATTGAATTAATGGCTTAATATCTTAAGAAGGGACACTTCCATACTCAAAAATAGAAAGCCTCAAGAAGCCTACTATTATAATCCAGATTATTTACTGGACATAAGATTTCATGGCTTTCTATAACTTTATCTACCCTGTTTTCTAAAAAAGGCTAACATAAACCAAAATTAAGATAAGCAATAGCTACCTGAAACTGTATCCAATTGTTTGTATAGAGCTGACATGATAACATCATTCTCTACGATATAACCCATGTCTTCCAGGTTCTCGTTCTCAAACATGATCAGGGCCTCAGAGCAAGCATCCCACACCTACAAAAAGAAATTCTCCATTTAAATGCAGCAAAGAAATGCATCAATATCCCTTTTTATCAAGGCTTTCCATTTATAAAATTCAACTGCTGGAGTGTCTAGCAAATGCAATTAAAAATATTAATGTTGAAAACCAGAAGGTACTTAAAAGTGAGAAACCTAAAGGCAGCACTTCATATATTATTCCCACAATAGATAGATTGCCTAAAATAGTTAGAAGACTGAGCAGGGCTATAGCATACTTCCCGAAGGCCTAAATTACAGGGAATATTAAGTAATGAGAATATAGGATATTTCTTTCAAGGATATACAAAGGAAGGTTTCACAAAGCAACTTTATCATTCCTTTCTAAGTATAAAATTGTACCAAATTATGTCTTGCCACTAGCAGTCATTAATCAAAGTCATAATTCCTCTTCATAAACTCTTCAAATTTTCCTTTACAATTCCCAAACCCACATCAGATTTTATTGTTGAGTATGATGAGGGATAAGGAGGAAGAGGAGAAATTCATTGGGTGAGAGAATATCTGTTCATATAACACTGGATGTGGCTCAGAGCATCCTCCACAGGAAAGAATTATTATTTTACATGTTTATACAAGCTCCTGAAAACTAAGGCTATGTAATGATTTAATTCCAATAAGATGTTTCAGAGGTTAAACAACGAAAATGTAGCATCTGTCTGCAATTATTTAAAATAATGACATCTTTGCACAGGATGCTGTAACAACTGCAGACAGGTGCTATATAGCAAAACTCCTAAACACATTTTATATGTGTCTTGTGTCTGAAGCACTGTATTTATTGCCCTGCTAAAACAGAATGTATAATTGACTTTTACATCATATGTATGATACATATAATTTTCTCTAGAGAAAAAAATACACTGTAGCTGTTAATAACAAAATAACTTAAGAATCTGCACAATCTATTATTGTGCATAACATAGTACCACAGACATATTTATTTTTTGCATTATCAAGCACCTGCATCCTCCTAAAAGGTTTGATTCTCATATTGCAGATATGTTCCCATGCACCAAAGCCTAAAAAAGAAAGAAAATTATTCTACTATATCAAAGATTAACTCCCATATTCCATAAACATTTAATGAGAACTCATCACAGCCAAATAATAAATAAAACTCAACTATTATCTACTTTTTTTTTTTGCAATAGTCTTTGTTCCACTTCATGGATTTTTATAGCTTTTGATCCATTTTCCATTTCTGGAAAAGACTGTCAAAAGCTTTAAAGGATTTTGTTTTTGAAATATGCACAAAAAACAAGCAATCATAAGGAGAAATGTGGAGAAATGCTAGAAGGCAGTCAACTAGGACATTAATACATATTTTGTGATTCTAATATCAATACTGAAAACTCATGGGGCCAAAAATATAATAGGCTGCCCATGATTCTTAGACCAATATATAAAGAGCTAATTATACAAGACCATATTTCAGTGGACAGGAATATGTGAAAAGAATAGAATAATAGCGTTGGAAGAGACCTTACATGTGAATAATTAATCTCGCTCTTAAATTAATATCCTGCATAGGATATTAATACCAAGCATCAAACTCAATATACCCATTCCTTGTGTGGCAACTACCTCAGTTAGTGATCATTTCAAATGCTATAGTAATAAATAGCAATAAAAATCATTTTCCAGCCAATGTGTACATTTAATCAAACATCATGGGCCTAACAATACATGCTTGTGAATATAATTAATTTGGAGAGAAGGTAATGCTGGCAGAGCTATGCAAGTTAACTTATTTGAATAAGACAGCAAAACTAGTGATTTTTTTTCATAATCTCTCTCAATAAAGTGTTTACTTAGCAGCCATGGTTGGAACAGAACTTGATTAGTAAACAAGGATGACTGTGTATGGCTACCAACATTCATAGTTGGCATACAGGTAACTGGGTAATGCTATACTTACTACTTAGAAATGTGGCAGATCCGGGTGTGATAGCACTGACTCTATTACTGTAATCTCTTGATAAATCCTTAATCTTTTTTTGAGGACGAGCTTCTAGTAGTAGTATTTTTTTATCAGAGAGATGAACATCATGCCCTTAAAAGAAGCAATCAGATCTTTAATTATTTTTTCAAACAAAGTTTAATCAAGTATTTTTTTAAGATTATGAAATATAAGCCATTATACACATATATTTTCTGAACACTCAGAATGCTTAGTACCCTAACTCTGGTAAGGTATCTGGAGGATTTCAGTACCAGAGTTATTCCTTCATCTATGTCACAGGAAAATCAGAAAGAAACCTGGGCTGCATGAGAGAATTGAATATCTATCGTCTATAACTATGTTTCAACCAAATATGGTTACACTCTCATTTTTTCCTCTAGCCAACATAGCACTATCAAATACAACTCTATAAAGGTAGTCCTTGACTTACAATAGTTTATTTAGTGACCATTCAAAGTTAAAACAGCAATAAAAGTGATCTGTGACCATTTTTCATACTTAGCATCCCCATGGTCCCGTGATCAAAATTCAGATGCTAGCAACTTACTCCTATGTATGACAGTTGCAATGTCCCAGGGTCATGTGATCACCTTTTGCAACCTTCTGACAAGCAAACTCAATGGGGAAGCCAAATTCACTTAACAACCATGCTACTAACTTAACCATTGCAGTGCTTCACTTAACTTGGCAAGAAAAATCATAAAATGGGGCAAAATTCACTTAATAAATATTTCACTTAACAACAGAAATTTTGGACTCAATAGTGACTATAAGTTGAGGACTATCTGTATTGCCTCTATGGAAGTGGTTTTTAACCTTTTTTTCAGCACTTTTAATACCTTTTGTGGTCATGGACCATCAACACTTAACTCAAGATTTAAATCAGGGCTGTCAAACTGATGGCCTGCAGGCCAGGTGCATCATGCTCTGGCCACGCCCACAATCGATGTGGCGAAGGGGGGGAAAGTCACAATATGTCATATGACGCCGCCATGATGACATGAGTTTGACGCCCCTGATTTAAATTGTTTCTTCAAGTCTTTGCAGACCCTCTGTGATGACATCACACACACACCTGGGGGTTAGTGGATCACAGGTTGAAAACTATTGCTCTATGTTTTGTTTAGCCAACAGGATCTTTATAATTACTAAAATATAAAAGCTTATGTAGGATTTGTAGTGTAATATCTAAACTTGACATTATGAATAGTTATAGTTATGAATGCTTTCCTTTATAGAAATGTTACATGTTTTTTGAAGCAGCTCAACAACTGAATCACCAAAAATGGAATGGCTAATTTTATTCTTTTTAATTTTGTTCATGTGCACAGCTTGTACAAACCATTCAGAGCCTATTTCAATTGGAGCAGCATGTAAATCCTGTAATTTAATATAGTTTGCACTGACAGACCTATATTCCGGTACCCAATACACCAAAACTGGTCGTTGAAAGTTATAAAATCCCTATCTTCTTCGATATATACAATCAGCTAAAGGTACACTTTAATAGCGTTTTAATCCTTTAAAGCTGGTCTTCAGATTCTGCCATTGTGGGATGCACACCGGATTATGCGACGAACATTTCATAACCATTCTCTTTAGCATGTAAAATATTATAAATTACCGGTCACAATAATCACCTTCGGCCTAGAACCAACCCGATTCTCTGTATCAACATCCCCCAAACTGGTTTTCTCGGCAAGTATCGGGCAAGAATTCCCAATCGCCAGGGGGATCAAATCAGGGAAAGCTGTGAGACTTAAATAAATAGGGATTCTTGCAGGCTTCTGGGTGCCTTTAAGGGAGGTTTATTGCCAAATCTCATACCCAGAGCAGCAGCCATGGCGGCTCCCACCATGCCACCGCCCGAGACCACCACATCGTACACGGCGTTGGAGCCGTTGCATCTCACTGAACCCTGCCGCGACAGAGAGCCGACAGTCCCTGCGAGAAGAAGGAGGAGACTCTTCCGACGATACAATCCGGCGCCTCGATCCAACAATAATCCCGCTACAGCAGCCATTCTTTCGGAAGTGACGAATCCGTCTCTCTAACAACGGCTCGTTACCGGAAACGTCTTCGGGATTACCATGACAATGGACAGGTTAACGGAACCTGTCCAATGACATCTCGCCAGGGGCGGAGCGTAAGAGCACGGACCGTTATCATTGGCCACAATGCGAGAGAAACAAAAAAAGAGAGGGTTTCATTGGACAGGGCATTAATAGCTAGGTAAGCGTGGAGCTGTTTAATAGTGGCGAAGATAACAGTCGTGGAAGAGACATGACGGTGTCTCAAGCTGCTAATGGAGCCCAAGCGAAGCCTCCTACGGAAGAGGCACAACGGGTAAGCAGACGTTCGGCAAGATGAATGGTGGATGGTTTAGTGGCCGAGGTTGCTTTAAATCGACAGTGTTTTTCCATGCTTATTCTTACGCGGTTTCCTCTGGCTGCAATAGCCACACCCTTGGAGACCAACTGTGTGTACTGCGTCCTAGCTGATGCCATTAGAGGAAAGCCGCGGGGGCTGGAAAAATGACATGTTGCACCAACTGTAACATTGGGTCTAGTTAATGCAAAAGTTGTTATTATTAATCATTGCACAGTCAGCCAAATGTTTGGGTTTGGCATTTTTGTCTACCTATCGAGTCCTTACCAGGGACCTGGGATGATGATGATAATGATAACAGCAGCAACAACAATAATATAATTAACAACAAAACAATGACAGAAGGTGACTTCACTTGGAACAGCTTCCATCCTGCAAGGATACCTGTAACATGATCAAACATCCAGATCTGGATGTTTGATGATGTTGCAGATATTGTCATAGGATGGAAGCTGTTCCAGGTGAAGTCACCTTCTGCCATAGTTGTGTTGTTATTGTTATATTATTAACCCTAGCTGAACTTAGGGTATTATTCTGAAGTACAGGTAGTCCTCGGCTTACAACAGTCCTTTTAGTGACCGAAGTTACAACAGCACTGAAAAAAGTGACTTATGTCCATTTTTCACACTTATGACCATTACAGCATTCCCATGGTCACATAATCAAAATTCAGATGCTTGGAAACTGACTCATATTTGCATTGTCTTGGGGTCATGTGATCACCTTTTGTGACTTTCTGACAAGCAAAGTCAAAGAGGAAGCCAGATTCACTTAACCTTGTTACTAACTTAACAACTGCAGTGATTCACTTAACATCTGTGACAAGAAAGGTTGTAAAATGGGGCAAAACTCACTTAACAAATGTCTCACTTAGCAACAGAAATTTTGAGCTCAATTGTGGTTGTAAATCAAGGGCTACATGTATGCGTATATAGAAGTGGCAGCATTAAAGAGAATGTAACATCAAAGCAGATTGCCTTGCAGGAAAATAGTAATTAATCAAATAAATGGCTAGTTGAGCCATTTGAATACAAACATCATTTCTGAAGTTCGTCCTCTGTTTTATATTTTGGTTTTACTGTTTTGTTTTGCTTTGCTTATTAGGTATTTCCGATTAAAGTGGAGTCAGAATCAGAATCAGAAGTGGAATTAGGTAGTAACATCACTGGAAATGAGCTACTGGATTTTCTTAAGCCACAGCAAGACCAGTTTTATGATCAATTTTATGATTCACTTCAGGATCTCAAAAGGAAAAACAGGCAGAGTTTGTTAGAATTAGGACTCTTATATCAAGAAAAACTGAAAAATGCTCATCACTCACCCAGAAAAGACAAAGAACTAGAAGATTTTTTCCAGGACAATGGAAGACTAATACTGCCAATAAAATTCCAGAATGATCTGAGGTAAGATAAGTGGGTTTTTTATTTCATGGGATTAACAAATTATAGAATAGAATAACAGAGCTGGAAGGGAGCTTGGAGGTCTTCTAGTGACTAGTCCAACCCCCTGCTCAGGCAGGAAACCTTATACCATTTCAGACAAATGATTGTCCAATGTCTTCTAATTATACTATACTAGACAATCTGTGATCCATTGGGTTGTCGTTTGAGAGGTAAAAATTCCAGAGATGATTCTTGGGTTTTTTAAAATATTTTTTTAATTAAGAATTATTTGAGCAACTACAAAATAAAGAGATACATTAAATAAAAATATTAAAAGGTGCATAAAGGGAAAAAAAGATAACAGTAAAAGAAAGAAAGAAAACCCCCTTCATCCCCAGCAAATTTAATCAATATTAAGAACTTATTAGTATATCTTAATATAAAACCAAACAGCTCTTTATAATCTTGCCCAAGATACCTCCAAAATTTCATTTCAAAAACCTCATCCCTTCCTGTGAAACAGCAGAAGTCCCCTAGGGGTTATCAGAAATGACAACATAAGTATTACAAACTGTGTGTATTATATCTAGTCTGAAACCATCTTTCCAGTTTAAACATTCCCCCTCTATTACTTCTCTTCAAATAATCAAATTTCAGTCATGCTCAAAAAAATTGATTTATAATTAATTAAACGTTACCCAAAATAATCATTGTCATCCACTCCTAGTCAAGAAGTGATTAAAATCCCCCCAAATAACTTTTAGCTTTCTCAAATAACTTTATTGAGTAGCTCATTATTTTAACTTGGTAAAATGGATTGCTTTTATATTGTTTCTTCTTTCTACAATATTTTAAATCCTCATAAAAAAGTTCTAGCATCTGCCTATCGGAATTTATTGGAAGTAATGAAGTAACAATATTATTGAGGTACATCTATGATTATACAGTATACTATTACATTTTGGATTAGATTAGTTGCAGATTCTGAGTGATCTTCAAGAGCATCTCCATGTAGAATGCATTTCAGGAATCAATCAGGGAAGATTAAGTGACTGTAAGCAGGGTCTCTTTGTCTAGAAACCATAAAATTACATACAAGATAATGTTATGCAAAAGTCTTGGCCCTCTGCTCCTCAAGTAGGAATCATGAGATGCCTGACAGGCTCTAATTGGATGAATGAAACCTTATCCAGAATTAATGTTGGAAAATCGCTTGATCCAGATCCTAGGGGGCAGAAAACCTACAAGTAGGTTGAGTTTAAGCCCGTTCTTCATCATCTAGACCTCCTCAGCTGCCAGAAACTGGAAAAGCACCAAGGCAGCATCAATTGGTCTACCAAAAACAGACAACTAATTTTGTCACAATTCGAATGATAGTGGTCCCGTGCTAACAGATTATATTATCAGCAATTTCAAATAGGTGTTGATGGAAAATAGAGAGCACTATGAAGCCACCCACAAAGCAGAAATTGAAGGCTAGTTGACTGATCACACACACGCCATCAATACCCAATTAAACCTACCATGCAGAAGGGAGAAGAACTATTATAATACCATGGTCCCTATTCTTAATCCCCTGAAGATACCACAATCAATAGTATTGAACATTGAGGAGAAAAAAAGGAACACCTTTCTCCGCTCCAAGCCTGTCACAGGTCTACTAAAACATATCTAGCTGTCTCAATGATATATCCCAGTCTGACAACAGAGGCCCTGCCTGGAAATTATTGTGTATTTTGGGGCATCCATAGAAGCAAGGGAGAATGGGTCTACTGCTTTTCATTCACTACTGTTTACCACTATTGCTCTCTGTGATTCTACCTTTTTTGGTTAGGTTACAGTTTCTCTTGATCAGGTTATTTAGTTTCTACATTATGTTGAATTTACTGCGATGTAGGTTTCTTTATCTTCCAGTAATTCTTTGTTTTTTGAGGGACTATTTTGTATTGCAGTTTATAAAAAAGGAATATTTAATAAAATAGTTAATAAAATCATACACAGTCTTGAAAATTATACCTAGCTTATTTCATTTATGTAATGTATAATTTATTTGCGTCTCTCTTAACGTTTTTTAATTTTATTCTTAGGTGTGGTAATATAAAAAGTTGGAACTCTTTCTCTGATATCACTTTAGATAGTTCAAAAGATGAGAAAAATCATTACTCATTTCTTCAGTCCTGTTCAAAACCAAAGAGCGCCTCAGCTCTTGGGATTTCCTCCCTCACAATTCCTCAGCCCTTCAACATGACCCGTCGAGAAACTCATCAAAAATCTCAGTTTCTAACATCACAGGCATTGCTTGAAAAAGAGTCAACTGCATACAAAAGGCAATTGCAAGAGGCTGCAGAATGCCAAAAACAATTTAGAGCACAGCCGGTGCCTGCTCATATCTATCTGCCACTCTACCAGGAAATAATGGAAAAGAATGAAATCCGTAGACAAGTAGAAACTCAAAAAAGAAAGGAGCTGCTAGTTTCAATGCAAAAACCCTTCAGCTTTCAGATAAAAGAAGAAAAGAGAAAAGAGGCCACCAGACAGCAGTTTCTGAACATCTTAACCCCAGCTAAGAAAATAGCACCAAAGTTCAGGAAGAATATCCCCAAGTCCACATATGAGCCAATGCTTGGGGATAAACTTGAAGGTAAAGATTATATCATTCACTTTTGACTTACCTAACATAGTAATGGTTATTAATATTTCCTTGATTTGTGAAATGGAAATAATTGCCACAAAAATCTGATTTTGAACTTTTGTCTCTTTTATACAATCAAAGACTTATCCAATGTAAAAGCAATTAAATTAATCAAATATATTTATTCAGCAACACAATATATGCAATGCAAATTGGTTATATATTTTGCCCAGGAACTTTCTATTATAGAACTTTAATATTTTGAATTTTGGGTTTTTAGTTTACCCAGAGAAAAAAATTTTGATTGTCAAGAATCAACACTGATTTGATGACACATAATCACTTTAAGTTAAAGATTTGTATTCTGTTGTCATTTAAAAGCCTCATTATACCTTTTACATTAGCTTTCTCCCTCAGAAGCTTCTCTAAAATTCCTAGCCAGCTGCTTATGCTGTTTGACATAGTTTTCAAAATACAAAACAAATATATTGAGAAGGATATTGTACTTTGGTGTTTTCCATTGTATATTTTTATGTAAATTGTCATAGGATTAATGTTCATTATTTTTTTCTTTTAATCCCTAGAAGCTGAACTCTTAAGAAAAATCCGTATTCACTTGAGAGCCAAGGAATTATTGGAAAAGTCTGGGGCTCCCATTGAGCTTGACAATAAGCAGAGGGATAAAAAATCCCAAATTGCCTCCAAAAATAGAGAGCAAAAGTTGAGTTTTCTGCAAGGCAACTTTAGTTTTAAGCCAAGAATTAATACTTCAGTGCCTAATTTTGAAGAACTTTACTGGGCATTTCAGAGAAAAGTAGTAAGCAAGCAAGAAATTAAAGAAGCAACTCGAAACAAACCATTCAGACTGAGAACAGCAAATCTCAGTTGCAGACATAAAATGTGTGACAAGATGATGGTAAAGGATTTGCTTTAACTTCTTTGTATTTCTACTTGTGCAAATATATCCACGACATAAACAATTATTTTCTATCACTCAAAACAGAAAGTTTTAGGTTAAGCATAACTCTATTGGGGAATAAGAACAGCCATAACAATATCAGTTTATATTTGAGGTCCAATGCTAATGAAATTTCAAATAGAAAAAGATCCCTCTAATCATTTTGGACTGGTGGACACATATGGACACTGTGTTGTTCAAGTTTTTGCAATATGCCTTCTGTAGGGCTTCCTGATTCACAAAACGGCTGCCATAGTGGGCATAGCACTGATTTAATTGAATGTTCCTTTGTGTAAGCAGATAGGCAGATTTCTAATGTGGAATGGTTAGTCTGGTGGATGATAAACACTGTTCCCTCTAAGGTGCGCGGCTGCGCGGCCGCGCA